ACGATCATGGCCATTTTTTCCCACACAAATACAAATGTGGCCATCTTTTCCAGAATCGTGGAAAGAATTAAGTTCATGAACCGAGGTACCACTGTATTTCTAGTACAATATTGAATAGTAGTGGTGAGAATGACCATCTTTTGCCTTATTTCTGATCTTAGTCAAAAGCTTTCCATTTTTTTACTATCAAGATTAAGCTTGTTAACTTTGAGAGTCATCTAGATTATTAGAAAAGCACCTGTCTGGGTGTGCCTGAGTGGGTCATGGAGGCAGGACCTTGGGTATTATATATGGTCACTCATCCTTTTCTCTCTGGGGCTGTTCTGCTCTGCTTCCTGGGTACCATGGAGTTCTTGCCTTGAAGCTTACTGGTCATGGACTGAATCCTTGGAAAACATTAGCCAAATAAACCTCTAAGTTCTAGATGTTGGGTAATTGCCCCAGCAATGGGAAAGCTGACTAATATATTCACTGTGGAGTATGATGTTCACTGTGACCTTTCATAAATGATCTTTTATATATAGCTTCTGTTGAGGAGTTCCCTTCTATTCCTTGTTTATTGTTTATTTTTATCATGAAAAGGTAATGAGTTTTGTCAAATGTCTTTTCTTAATCAACTAGGACGACGATGTATATATTTTTATTTTATTGATCTGGTATGTTACACTGATTTTTTTTAATTAATTTTTAAATCTTTATTAGTACATGTTTGCAGTACATGTAATTTACAGTCATCTTGGGGAGTGGGTACATGCGCATAATACATCTTGGTTTTTTTATACCTTTCCCTTCCCTCCCCCCTCCTCTAATTCCCCTTTCCCCATTTTCATTCTTGTTGATATTATTAATCTTAGGTCATGTTTAAAGCATATAATGTTTATATTCATTTAGGTTATTAGTTTTCTGTACATGGCATAGTCTTATTCTACTTACTTCCCCTTTCCCTTCCCCTCACCTCTTGCCCTTGGTCTCTTGGACCCCTTCTTATTTATAAGAGATCCATCCCCTTATTTCCTCTGACTTATGCTTTATTAATCTCTTTGTTTGTATTTTGCCTTGCTCAAATGAGAGATACCATATGGTATTTAACTTTGTGTGTCTGGTTTACTTCGTTTAACTTTATATTTTCCAGGTGTATCTATTTTTGTACAAATGGTTCAAATTTGTCCTTCTTTATAGCTGAGTAGTATTCCATTATATATAGATAGGTTTTCTTTATCCAGTCATCTGTTGATGGGTATACAGGCCATTTTTCACATGTTAGAAACATCCTTACATTCTAGGAATAAAACTCAAGTGGTCATGGTGTATATAATACTTATAATAATACATTATATAATACATTGTTGAATTCTGTTTGCTATCATTTGTGTGTGTGTGTGTGTGTGTGTGTGTGTGTGTGTGTGTGTGTGTGCGCTGTGCTAGGAAGCAAACCCAGAGTTTCATTCATTCTTGGCAGGCACTCAACCACTGAGCTACAGCCTAATATATTTTAAAAGTACAAAAATATGCTCAAAAAGCATGCATGGCAACTGCAGGACAATGAGTACCCAAAGAGTGAGATAACTGAATAAGTAATGGCATGTAGGATTTTGCTATACTTATGATACATTATTTCTTAGAAAGAAGAGGAGAGTAGAAGCAAATGAGGCAAAAGAGAAACATCCAGTTAACTGGGTGGTGTGATTATAGTTAACTCTTTTATTATTTTCTGTACTTTTCTACATGTCTAAAAAACAATTAAGTTGTATGTTTAATACCTATAAAAATGCTTTCTAAACTGGAATTCATTACACACTGTAAGGCTATTATCACTATTTATATGAATACACTCAGGCAATATATGGACATGTGGTGAGGAGATAATGCTTAAGCTGGGAAACAGCCAAAGTGCAATTCCAGTACAGTCAATGGTACTAACATCCTAAATTCTAGTTGGATGCTTCATAGATTAAAAAAAGGTAACTAGTTAAAAATATAATGGTCCTAGACTACAAAACCCCACTCAATGCTGGACATAACAATCAAGAGAACCCAAAGAAGGCCAAACAAAAATGCAACTTTCTATTCTTAAAAGTCCTGTTCAGTTGTCTCTTCCATTATTAACCCATGTCAGAATCTACTTTCCCGTGCTCCAGCAGCATTTTATCACATGCACTGTCCTTATTAGGTTTTCATGAATTTATCTCCTTCACTGGGCTGTGTGACTGAGGGAGAGAATATCTCTATTTAATATCTTGTATCCCGTGCTGGGAATACCTTTCCTTACCTACACTTTAAGACTTATGTTTAGAAGGGCTTTTTTGATTACCCCAATTTGAGTTGAGCCCCCTTCTCTGTGTCCCTATGCTAACTTCTGCCATAGTGTGTGTCACACTGTGTCACTATCACCCCCAACAGCATTATCTCCCTTTTCTCCCAATGTTCTACAAGGATCTCAATAACCATAGTTAAGTCAGGAAATTATATCAATTCTGCAATTAAAAGTCTGAATTTGTACGTATGCAGCAGATGTCCGTGCTCTATTGGAGTTGAAATATAGCTGGTGTCTGTGGTTGAGATCTAGTTATCATTATTATTCTGGTTCTTAACAAAGAAGGATCTTTAAAACACCAAAACCTAGCTGAAGGTCTATACAGAAGTGACACTTTTGAAATGGTCATAATTAACAGGAGAAAGTAACAATTTTATGATGGTCTTTTGTTTATGTTCATTTCTCTCAAACTCATCTGATCACCTATTTAGCAGTAATGTATGGAGTACACTAGCTGATTAAACTAAGTTTCTATTCCATTCATTTGGAATAACAAACTAATATTTATTTATATATTATTTATTAAGCATCCATTAATTTCAAAGCAAGATAGAAATTCACATTTAACCCTTCCCCAAATATCTTCCAAATATCATTATTACTCATGTTAGAGACAAAGAAACCGAGACTCAGAAAGGTTAAGTTACTTGCTCACAGCTACTCAGCACTTAAGCCTGGGTAAGTTGATTGAAAAATCAACATTATCAAACATCTCTGCTATATTGCATTTCCTTTTTAAGACATTGTGGCAGACAGTCTTTATGATGACCTCCGGTGATCCCTGCATCCAGACAATCATCCCCTGGAGTATGAGCTAGTTCAGTGACTTATTTCTAACAGAACATGGCACAGGTGATGGGATACCCATTCTGTGGTTAGGTTACAAGAGATGCTACTCTCAGACTTTTTAGCACCCATTCTACCTTATTGGCTTTGATGAAGCAAGTTATCATGTTGAGGAAGCCACTAGGGCAAGGATCTTACAGAGGCCTCCAGCCTGTAGTCAGACAGAGGTCCTTCGTTTCACAGACCACAAAAAACTTAATCTTGCCAGTAAGAACCTGAGCTGGGAAGCAAATTCTTCCCCAGGCAACCTTCAGAAATAGAGAGTCAAGCCTTGTTATTTACTTTGATTGTAGCCTCATGAGAGACTCTGAAGCTGAGGTCCCAGTTGTTCAGTGCCCAGATTCATGATTGCAGAAACAGCGAGTAAAGTGGTGTTATTTTAGGCTGTGACATTGTGGCAGTTTATTATGAAGCAATAGATAAGTACTACAGTTATTAAAGACACTGCTAAAACTAAACTGTAGAGTAAATACAACAAACACACAAATTTACAATGTGTCCTGAATTGTTCTAGGTGCTTTACATGCATTAATACATAACTGCCCTATGAGGTCGATACTGTTATTAACCCTATGTTTTCTTTTACTACAGAGTTATTCAATAACCTGGTCACACCTCTAGACAATGTCAGAACTTAGGTTTTTATCCAAGCATTATGGCTCCAAGAATTGTGTCCTGTATTGACTTCAATGTCATACTTTCTGAAAAAGATGCATGAAAGAACATGGCCACTAAACCTCAATTCAAAATTTTATTAGTGATTATTTATTTTGAAAATATAATATTTTAGAGCAGCTACACCTAAAACAGATATCATAAGGAAAATCTGTCTTCTGGCGTAGCTCTATCAAATAATGTTTCCCCAAAAGTGATTATGGAAGGAGAGGCAGATCTAAATAGATGAAACTTTGACCTGTCTAACCTAGCCAAATGCTCTCAAGTAGAATGACAAGGTACACTGCAGTTTACAATTGAAATGTTTTAATTAAGACAGAATATGCAAACATTTATATTTATATGATTTCACTACCATGGAGAAAACGACTAAAATAATTTGTACATTTGAGTTTTAATGTTTCATATTTAGTGGTAGTGGTTGGCAAAAGAGGAAGGATTTGTCATCCAAGCAAAACAGGAGGATGAAAGAAGGATAAAAGGGAAAAAAACCAAGCCTGGTGGGGTAGTGCATGTCTGTAATCCCAACTATCAAGGAGGCTGAGGCAGGAGGATTGCAAGTTTGAGGTCAGCTTGGGCAATTTAGCAAGAACGTGTCTCAAAATAAAAAAAATTAAAAGGGCTGGGGATGTAGCTCAGTGGTAGAGCACCCCTAGGTTTAATCCCCAGTACTGAAAAAGAAAGAAAAAAATTGGAAAATTATACATTATTTTCACATTTTTTAAGTATGCTATCAATTTTTACCATGAATCAAAACATACTCATGCCAAGAAATGTGCATAGTCACCAGAAATAACATCTATTTATTATTAGAATTATGCGCGATGGAAAACTTCTGAGTAGCAGACAACAATGACAGCCACCTCAGTAATGATTTCGTAATATTTCCTCCAAAAGCAATCTAGAACAGCAAAAAGAGCAAAATAAAAGTGCGCAGAGTGATGCTCTATAATAACTTAAGTAGAAAGAATACCTAAGCTTCAAAATAACTCCAAGTAAGAGGAAGAATAGCACCAAATTACAGTGCTTGTGGGGAGCACAAGCCCTACTGGCAAATCTTGAAGGGAAAATAGCTAGAAGGCCTGCAGACATGTAAAGCCTCCATCAGAAAGGCCAAGTTTACCTTAAGTTTTTTTGTTTGTTTGTTTGTTTTAGAAAACTGGAATAAAATGGGAAAGTGCCATTTTTATTTATCCTAATTGAATTTTAAATGTCCTTTTGACACAAAAAGGTATATACATAACATAGCTACACAACCTTTTTTTTTTTTTTTGTACCGGGGATCGAACTCGGGTCCTTGTGCTTGCGCAGCAGGCGGCGAAACCACTGAGCTAAATCCCCGGCCCAACACAACCTTTTTTCAACTGGACAACAAGTGTCAAAACCCTGTGGATGTATAAGGGTAAAAGGAGATTGGTCAGGAAAAGAGAATTGTTCCTATAACTGGTAATCTGACACAATGTCCTATTGCCATTTTTTAAAGAAAGGTCCATTTTCAGTTTATTCAAGTTTGTTTTCATGGTTTTTAATCTCTCTTGATAAGAAAAATCAGACTTTCATAATTTGTGTGTGCTGATCTTCATCAAAAGGCTTGTTCTCTGGGTCAGAGTCAGTGGCGTCAGATATCTATAATGATCAGGTTCATGGTCACTAACATCTGGCATTACAGAAGCTGAACTGCTAACCTCTGGATTTGATGGCTCCTCTACTGTTTTTGTGAAGTACAGCTTCACCTTAAAATTTGGAGAAAAATATCGGTTTGCCTTATCTTTATTTGCTTGGTCAAGATCATTTTTTTGTTAAAGTACTAGATATTCTTTATCATTATATGCACTCTCTATACTGCAAATACTATCAATTTCTTGATCACACAGACTTCCATTTCCTACTCTTTCTGAGATTTCCTCTGGTCCTGGCATGAAGAACGTATTTACCCAAAAGTGAAACATTTTGTCCTTTTTTAGCGTCTTGTTCTGTTTGTGGAAGAACTCTACTTTGATGTCACCACACACAGGCAACGGCTGAGGGAACTCAAAGTACATGAACTTGTCTTCCCGTCTTGTGGGTCCTGAATTGGAGGAATGTATCTTCACCTTTAGCTGGAAGACCACAAATAGGATTGCAAGTTCCACCACTGAACACTGGAATAGTTTCAAACATCATCTTGTGAAACAACAGTGCCACTGGTCTACAGTCCAGATGATTCCTTAACAGGTAGCTATAATAATACACATAGTGCCTCTGACTGGGAAGAGTTACTCCCTTTTTACCTTAAGTTTTTAAAGTGTCGAAGGGGATCAGAGAATAGACTCTAAAAGCATTTATTTGAAGGGACAATCTTTGAAATATAACTTATGGAAAAGAAAAAAGGTAAAATAAAACGAAGATGAGCCCTTTGGTAATTAAATGGGGAAAGGTAAAAAAGTAAAAGACAAGATTTGTGTCCAAGTTAAAAAAGAGAACCACATTATAATAGAACCCACAAACACTATCACCAAAACAAAATACAGTACCACAGTACATCTGGACTTTGCTATGCTAACAGAAGAGGGCGCCATTAAAGTAGGAATCTCATAAAATACCACAATACTTAATCTCAAAAAGAATAAGAACAGAAAAGATGAACAGATCCACAGAAAGTTGCTACTGCGAGAGAAATTTGAGCACTAAATGTGGGAAATAGAAAAGGGGAAGGATCTCTAATCAGTAGTTCAGACAGGACATAATTTAGAGCAGAAATAAATGAAACTGAAAGGCAAACAACAGAAAAATAAATTAAATAAAAAGATACTTCTTTGAAAATATCAACATAATTAAAACCTCTAGCAAGACTAATAAAGATGAAAATAGATAAGACACAAATTACTAATATCAGGAATGAGATAGGGGATATTACTACAGATGCTTCGGCTATTAAATAACAGTAAGGCAATCTTTTAAAAAGCCCTACTCCGGTAAATTAAAAAAATTTAGATGAAATGAACCAATTCCTTGAAAAATCCAAACTACCAAAACTCAAGCAATACAAAATAGATAATAGGAATAGTCTTATAATTATTAAAGAAAGTGGACCCATGTTCTTAAAACCTTCTCTAAAGTAATCTCCAGACCCCAATCATTTCACTGGAGAATTCTTCCAAACATTCAAGAAAATTCTGCACCATTTCTTCCAGAAAATAAAAATAGAAGGTACGATTGTTGATACATTGCATAAAGCCATTGTTTCCTTAATAAACCGGGTAAAGGCAGTACAAAAAATGGAAAATTGTACATCAGTATCTGTCATAATCTTAGATGAAAAATTTCTCCGCAAAATATTAGCAAGTCTAACCAAACAATATTCTAAAATGAATTGCCAGGTGTGGTGGCGAATGCCTGCAGTCCCAGCACTCTGGGAGGTGAAGGCAGGGGGATCACAAGTTTGAGCGCAGCCCAAGGAATTTAGCAATTGAAGGAAACCCTGTCTCAAAAAATGAAAAAGGGGCCAGGGATGTAGCTCAGTATGAAGGCCCTGAGTTCAATTCCTAGTACTGCAACATAAAATAAAATAAATTATGTAACACAATTAAATGGGTTTATCTCAATGCAAAACTAGTTCAATATCAGAAAATAAATGTAATCTCCCATATGAACAGGCTAAAAGAGAAAACCTGCATATCATATCAATTAATTCAGAATTAATTTACTTGACATTTAACACCTATTCATGATTTTTTAAAGAACTCCCAGTGGGGCTGGGGGTGTAGCTCAGTGGTACAGTGTTTGTCTAGGCATGGCAGTGGAAAAAAGTTTCCAGAAGATGAGAAATTTATGGGGCCCTTCTAAAGTTGATAAACATCATCTATAAAAATCCTATGCCTATCGCCATATTTAATGATGAAAGACTGTATGGTTTTCCTCTAAGATTGGAAGCAAGGCAAGGATCTCTACTTCTCCCCAGGTAGGAAATTCCAAGGAATCTACAAAAAAGTTTGTAGAATTAATAAATTAATTCAACAAGTCACAATATATAAGATTAACATACATAAGTCAATCATATTCCTAAATATTAGCAAAAAACATGTGGAAACCAAAATTTAAAATGCAAAATCATTTATCACTGTAAAAAATTAGAACACCTAGCTATAAATCCAGCAACACAATTACAAGATCTTTATGGTGAAAATATCAAAACAAATGAAAGCAATCAAAGAAGACCTACACAAATACAGATATACTCCTGGATTTCATATAATAAAAATGTCAATCTTTCTCAAATTGATCCATAATGAAATTCCTATCAAAATTTGTAAACAATTTCTGTGGATATTAACAGGCTTATTCTGTAAACTGTTTAGAAAGACAAAGGAACTAGAATAGTTAAAAAGGAAAAAGTAGGTTAAAGTGGAGGAATCACTATCTCCATTTAAAAAAGTTATAATATAAACGTAGCAAGCAACATGTATTGACTGAAAAATAGTTTGGTAAACATAACAGAATACAGAAATAGTACAAGTAAATCCCAAATGATTTTTAAGTTTATTTAAAAATTTTAGTGTATAACTCAGTAGTTATAGTATGTTTACAGAATTCTGTAACAAGCAATATCTACTGTCAGAACATTTCTATCACCCTAAAAAGAAATCTTGTGCTCATAGGCATCAAACCCTACCAGCCCATCCCCTAGTCCCCAGCAATGACTAAGCTGCATTCTGTCTATGTGTTTGCTTGTTTTGGATATTTTACAAAAATAAAACTCTATATATGTGGCAGTTTGTGTCTAGTTTTTTTCATTTAGTATGTTTTTATATTATAACATGTACCAGTGCTTCATTCCTTTTAATGGCTGAAAAATAGCCCATAGTATTCCATTGTTTATGAATTCATCAGTTGGATATGATGGTTAATCTTGACTGTCAACTTGATTGGTTTAAGAGGCACCTAGACAGTGAATTGTGAGGATGCTAACCTCAATAATGGATTAACACATTGATGAGGTCATAGCTGAAAGGGCTCTTAGGAGGTGGAACCCCATTACAGGAAGCCCAGAGTCATAACTTTGAAGGGTATGTCTTTTCTCAGGCCCTCTCACCTATTCTGTTCCTCGCTGCCATGATTTGAGCAGCTTTCCTCGTGCCATGCCCTTCCATCACATTTCTGCCTTGGAGTCAGCTGATCATGGACTGAAACTGTGAGCCAAAATAAACCTCTCCTCCTTTAAGTTGTGTATGTCAGATATTTTGTCCCAGCAAAAGAAAGCCAAATAATACAGTGGACATTTGGTTTGTTTCCACTTCAGGCCATTATGAAAAACAATACAATGAATAATTATGTACAAGATTTTTGTGGACATATGTTTTGAATTATTTTGGGTGTATATCTAGGAGTGGAATTTCTGGGTCATATGGTAACTCCATATTTAACTTTTTGAGGAACTGATAAACTGTTTTATGAGCACATGCACCAGTTTATATTTCAAGCAGCACTGCATGAAGGGCTCAAATCTATATCCTCACCAATATATACCATTTTTTATCTTTTTTATTATAAGAATACTAAGGAGTAGAAAATGTTATCTCATTGGGTTTTGTTTTCTATTTCCATAGTGACTGATTTTTTGAGCATTTTTATGCACCTATTGTATATTTTCTTTGAATAAATGTCTACTGAAATCCTTGCTTATTTTTCCATTGGATTATTCATGTATTTATCATTGAATTTTAAATGCTCATTGCATACTTGGGACACAAGTCTCTTGCCAAATATATGATTTTTGTGTCTTCTTTTATTCTATGAACTAACATTTTACTTTCTTTTTTTTTCCCCATTAACTTTATTGGTACATTTTAGCTATACAATACAGTTACATTCATCATTGGGATCTTGTACCATAACATGAGTGTCTTGGTTCTTATTTTTTTTTCCCCTTCCCTTGCCCTCCCTTCACCCCCTCCACCCTTCCCTATTTGCAAAGACCTTGTTTCCATTTTTT